TGCAATTTTGTAATCAGGTATGTACTACATGGGCTGAAAAGTCTAGGGCAGAGATTCTCAAACTTATTTTGTCCACCGCCCTCTTCGAGAATTAATTATTTTCTAGCGTCCCCCAAATTTTTTACTTTACTACATCTTAAGAATCACAATCGCAGTCATTATATTAATGATTAAATTATGTGTGTCATATGAAAATAAGATTTTCTGATCAGGGTAATGTTATTTAAATAAACATTTCAATTCGAATTTCAAAACTAATCTAATGTTAAGGATGAATTTGATGATTTTTAACAAGTTTGTTATCAGGCTCGAATTTACTCAAGAACAGCCGTCAGTCACCGCGTTCGGTAACCGCGGTGCAACCGATTTCTTTTTTTAGTTAGCAACGTTACCACAGCACTGAATCCACGTTCATAGAAATACAATGATGAGAATGCTATCAAAAATCGTTGAATGATGGACCACAATCCAGGGTACAATTGCGGGAATGGCTTTTGTAGTCAAAATTCTTGGAATCCATTTTTTAAATTTCATTTTCATTTCCCCGCTCGTTATCAGTTCCATGAGTTCTTCTTCCAGCTGGGGTGATTCTGCTGTGTTGACATTTGGTAAAGGATCCAACACCTAATCCGGTATTTCCAATTTCAAAAGGTCCTGGAGTCGTTCTGCGAAATCACTGTGGGGTTCTCCAAATGTTGGCAGTGAACAAGCAAGTCGTCGTTGTTGAAGGGAATGGACCAATTAGGGAAATTGCGAAACTCACGTCTGCCGATATTATTCTTGTATAAGAGCAATTTGGCTACAAAAGCAGCAATAGCTTTTTTTGTTTCAATCAAATTCAAGTCGTCACCTTGAAGTTGGAGATTGACATCATTGCATAATTTATACAGGTATGTCAAGTACGCAATATCATTCTTTGAAGTAATGACGTTTCCGTGCAATTCTTTGTTTTTGTTTTCCAAGAACTCTCTTATAGAGTCAAATAGATTGTAAAATTGAGTCAGACAGTTACTTCTTGATAACCACGCATATTCATCATCAGCAAAACAAAGCTGATTAAATAATCTGTCATTTAAAGAGCTGTTTCGGAGTTGTTTGACTGCTTTGATGATATATTGCAGTTATTGAGAGAGGCCCTCACTGAAATTTTTCGCAACCAAATGTTGCCTATGAATGACGCAATGTACAGCGAGCACATTTGGAATTTTATTTTTTAAGTACGCTATGAAGCCTTTGTGAAGTCCTATCATAGCTAGAGCGCCATCCGTAGCAGCTGATATAATATTCTTCAGTGGAATTTCTTTCTCATCACGAAATTTTTCCAGTGTATTATATATGGTTTTTCCTTTCCTTTCAATAAACCTCACGTATGACAACAACAATGCTTCATTGGTTGGTAAAGTAGACTCATGTAACTGAATTGAGAATTTAGAAGTCTTCAGATGATTGCACAATGACTCTTCAATGTTGCTTCATAGCTATTAATAATGTTATTTGACAAGATGCTGCACATCACCTCAGTATT